TGGTTTCCATGCAGTTTTATCTTCATTGCGTTTTCTTTATTTTCCTTGTTGTGCGGTCGTATAACCAGTAAGAGACTGTGTCGTAGTTGTTTTGTTGCTTGTTATTGGTTCAGTCTTATGATGCAGCTCACCTGCTAATCATTATAAGCGATTCCCATTGGTCAGGTGTTTTGTAATTTTATTGGGTTGCTATTTTTAGGGACCGAGAGGAGACAGGGGACCGACTGGAGAAAGAGGGACCCCCGGTGCCCCGGTAGGTAGATGATTTTATAACTTCATGTCAGGCGCTATTGGCATACTTTTATGTTAACATAGATTTTCATATCAAATAACGTTGATTCAACTGTACTGCATATGTGATAGGAATGAGTTTTTGATTCGGGTGCATTTTCCATAGGAGCTTGTTTCGTCATTGGTATTTCCTCGTAAAATAATTTTGAAAAGGCGTACATACTTTACCAAGAAGCAGGCAAAAACACGCAGACCTTTTTTTTTCTTTTCAAATAGCTGTCAACCGATGGAATACGAACGTACTTCATTGCCTAATTGCTCTCCGAAAATACATTTTATTGTTTTGTAGTCTCATAATCATGTTTGTTATTCTTTTCTTTTTTTAGGGTGAGCAGGGACCGCAAGGACTGCCGGGACTTCAGGGCCCACGTGGCAACACTGTAAGAATCAATCATGACTCATTCATATGTAATATCACCATGGCATTTGACCGTGGAAAATACTCATCCGTTTTTAAAGTTAATGGAAAGTAAAATCTTTGGTTTTGGCTTTTCAAATCATGTAACTTTGATGTTGTATTTTTGTTTCGTCCGCTGATGCCGCTGTCCATGTTTGATTTTTTTTTTAGGGTCCAAAAGGCGACAAAGGATTGCAAGGCTCACAAGGGGAAAAAGGAGACAAGGTAACCGTCGTATTTTTTCGCAATTTTTTCGACTAGTAGCCGTGTAGTTTGTCAGGTGCTCGCGTACAACAAATGGCAGCGTGCGGAAGGTCATGGGTTGGAACCCTCTATGTCACTGACCGAGTGAAAATATTTTTCTTGGAGCTGGTTTCTATGTGATCACTATGATCGTTACGATATAGTCAGTTCCATCTCATCAATGATGTGGACATGTAGCGATCGTTACAATGAAAAATTTATCAGAAAGCAATGCGTCGTTGTTTGATCCAGGTCCACTCGGACATTCTTATTATTCTGTACCGATCATGGAGATCATATGGAAACTGGTAGTTGCAAGGATCGCTCAACTTTTTGTGAAGCTATCGCAACGCTCGTAAAGATCATCATATGGAAACTGAACCAGCGTTTAGTTGTACCAGGCTTGACATAGAACCGCGTCTCTTTCTACCACATTATCGTTCAGAAAAACACCCTTTAACTAGGTTGCCTTGTTGATATTTAAATTCATTGGCATTCGTCTAAAAAAAGGTGGTACCGTGTTCGCTTCATATAAAACATGTATGATTTTATACAGATTCTAATGGAAGATCGTATAGCATGAATACAAACTTAGAGACTGAGTTTCATTTGTTGTTGTTCAGGGATGGCCTGGTTTCTTCGGTCCCACTGGAGTTGCAGGACCTTCCGGAGACAAGGTAAATGATCTTTGGTGAATACAACCAAATCTGTTCTTTGGGACATCAATGACCTAAAGGGCTTCGTGAAACTGGCCATGCCTATGGAGCCACATGCCACATGGGTCATTTGACGATGTAAGATCAAGTTAGCACGCCAAATATGGCAACTTATCACAATGTGGAGCTAAAGAACAAAGAAAATCAAGCTAGTGGAATATTAAAATACTTATTTGATGTTTTTACAGATAGCATTTGGAGCCATTTTACTCGTGTCTCTCTTTAAAACTCCTAACATTTCTGTGCTTGTTATCTGTAAAACCATTGATAAGGGTAGTAGTATTTCTCTCATGAAGGAATACTGCCGGAGTCATTTCTATGCCACCTAAAAACACTTCATAAGTAACCACTTGTAAGAGGATACCTTCGTAAGAAAACAGCAAAGAACAGGTCATAAAAAAGTACATTGAGCCGATGGTGAAAGAACGTTAAACCAAGTATTGCTTCTTTCTAGGCGACCTAAATTATCTTCAATGTTTTCTTAAATCCGCTGAACACTATATTTGTGATGTCTCCAGTTATTAATGTATGATTTTTGTTTCAACTATCTTTTTTTTCTAGGGTGACCCAGGCCCTGCCGGGCCGCGTGGATTCCCTGGACCGAAAGGCGACAGAGTTAGTATCAAAATGCCGTTAATTCTCCACACAACGTAGCTTTTGGACTTTTTTAAGTGAATGTTAAGGATGTAGGTTGGAAGAAGCAGTCTGTGCTAGTGTAGTAAGTTGGTGTAAGGCTCCACATTCACAGCAATGTGTCGCCAGAAAGCCGTAATAAGGGTTGAATAACCCCTCATTAGTTTCTGGTACCGTTCGAAAGAAAGCTCTCTTTTTAGTGGATACAAATTGGAGTTCATTCATAGACTTAAAAGTTTAATTGAGGTTGTACAACACACGAAAGTTCTGCTCAATAGTTCTGCTCACACGAGAGTTTATCCGTGGACTTACAAGTTAAAACCACTTATAGCGTAGAAACAGTACCACTTAGATGTACTGCTCGTAAACATTCATATAAAATAGTCACAGACTATATTGTAGGGTTCATAAGTTCAAGAGTTTCTTCCTGATACTAGAAGCAAATCATTCAATGTGTTCCACCTACTTGGTCTCCTGTTTAATGGCTTCTCATTCTGTCCCAGGGCGAGGACGGGCCTGATGGGCCTTCCGGACCACCTGGACCGCTGGGGCCTAGGGTGAGTTGTACGCCTTAGCCAGAACTTCAGTTCACAACGTGGTTTGCCAGTTCAGAATTCAAACGAAAAGAACGCTTACCTGTCACACAGAAACATACAGGACAGTAAGAATAATCATAACTGTCTATTCTGTATTGCGGGGAGAATGTACGTCAAAACAACATTTGCTTTGCTGTAGTTATTTTAGTAACTTTTTAGAACTAAACAAAGGTAGCTAACTGTAAACTTTTTCTGTTCGTTTTGTTTGTAGGGAAGATCTGGTTTGCAGGTTTGATGTCATTTGCTATTAGTTCTCTATATCCTCCTGTTCGCGTAACTTTCTTTTTGTTACTACTTTTCCGTGAAAACTATCTTTTAACGGCTGACGTTTTTCTTTTTGCCTTTTGTCATAACAGGGAGCCAAAGGTGATAGGGTAAGTTAATTTTGACCGCTTTCGTCAATGTAACAAAGTGTCAATGAACGCAGACTGGCATTGTATTCCTCAATATTCATCTCAATTCAGTTATTTCAGTCAGTAAAAACAAAGTTGTTGACACTGATCCTTTGATATGTTTTTTTTCTATCGGCTTTGTAACGTTCCTCTTTTTATGAGAAAACAAAAGTAAAGAAGTAGCTGTCCTCCTCAAATCGTTGTAACAGGGTTTGGTTTATTTATTTCAACATGAAAACATTCCCTTATTTTATTAAATTTTCTTCTCTTTCTTCAGGGACCACAAGGAGAGAGGGTAAGTGCGGAAAAAGCTTTTAACAATCAGTTATTTTGCGCTTAGTAAACTGGCTCATTGAACTGATTATTTGTTTGTTTATTTATGTACGTCTAACTTCGACAATTCCTACTTTCTTTCAAGGGTGACCAAGGACAACCGGTGAGTGAGACTTGGTTAAATTGCTTCTTTGGTCGAAATTGTTGATAACATTCTAAATCAAGCAGTGTACTGACAACTGGTACTGCCACTGACATTTCAAATAATTATCAACCTGGAATCAATAACGTAACCGAGAGCTATTTAAAGTAGTGTCGATAGTAATTCATAACTGTTTCAGTATTGCTTCACTACGTTCTGTGTTTGGTTTAAAAAACCCAACTCAACCAATTAGATGCGAAACGTGTGGTCACGTATGTTTACGTGCGCTTAGCATCGGTCACGTGCATGTGTTTCGAGTGTTTATTGGTTCCTTGAGTTAAATGTTTACGCTTGCAGTAATTCCTTTGTTATGACTTGACGAGACTCAATTGAAAACTGCTCTATCTATCTGCTGTGTTAAATTTAAACGAACGACCCGCAATTATTTGAACCTTGACTCCGACCGTGTTGAAAGTTGACAAATTGTTCTTTTAGCTCTTAAAAGTCTAATACCGTAATTCTTATTCGGTATTAACAATTTTTGCCCAGAAAGTGACTTCTTTTAGTGTTTGTTAGTAATAAGAGGGAGTAGAACTCTTAAGTCGTTAAGAGGAACGCTGTACATTTTTTGTTTGAATTTGAATCGTTTCTTTTCTTGTAACTCTTTTTTTATTCCTTCAGGGACCACCTGGACCGCCGGTAAGAATGAAGTTGCTATGTGTTGTTCTTGTATTTTGTGTTGTTTAAAGAGAAACGTAACATAGTGTAAGTGTGGGGATAAATTTTTCACCTTTTTGCGATTCCGTTTGCGTGTCTCGTACATGCACTCGTGATGACTTGAGCTGGCTTGCGCTGGCCTTGATTCGGGGCTTTGACGGGGATCAAATTTGCACGTCAAGTAGACTCTAAGACCCAGGTCAAACGTCGACCTTCACATGAGACGAACTAAACTGAGTGAATTAAGTTCACGATAAGTTCGACGTTTGACTCAAATGAGTTCGTCCGTTTGAAAGAGACGGATAGAACGTGTTGGTCGATCTAAATTCGAATTGAGTTCGACATTTGACCCAACGGTCGAGCTTTTACTGTTTGTATCGACTCAAATTACAATTTAGTTCGTCTCATGTGAAGTTCGACGTTTCACCTGGGCCTTATTTATGACACTTGACGTTTCTTCTTCATTACGTGGTTCCATATTTAAAAAATAAAACTTGGAAGACTCACGTGCCCCTGCCTCTGATTCACCGTGTCTTCTCTGTGAAACATGAGCCATCCACAGTTTTACGCCAGTCATAACGGTCCTTAGCAAATCGGAAAGTCTTTGACATGACCTTCTCCACTTGTTCTTTGGTCCGCCACGCTTGCTTTTTCTTTGTTGTTTCTTTGCGGAATGTTGAAATATTATTTCGAAGAAACACGTGCGCTTTATTTTACCAAATCCTGATTTGATCTGATGCTCCAATTATTCATCGACTAGCGGTTTTCTGCTGGGATGCTGCTAGGTAACAAGGTGTATCCTGATAAAGGCAAGCTGACTTCATAACTTTCTGCTTGTTCGTGCGCTTTCTGCTTTTCACTACACTCAACGATGAAAGCATGTTAGATCTGTTTTAGTGCACTACGAAACATGCAACTACATCACGTACATGTAAATGTTTTAAAATGTCAGTCAATTTTATCTGTTCTCATTTGTCTTGATTTTAAAATGTTTGCAATAATTGTGTTTCAGGGACCGCCTGCAGACATCGTAAGTAAAAGAGTTTGTGTGTTAATCTCTAGTTTTTTCAATAGCTGATTACAAAATATTCTTTTTTGTCTCAAACTAGATAAAAAGTAAGGATTAATTTACCATTTAAGATCGCCTAGAAGAACTTTAAACCAAAACCATGCCTATCACAGAACTAACCATAACGGTCACTGAAGAAAGGCGTAATAAACCAGTTGAAAACTCAAAGCAAAAACGTGTAATTGGTGGCAGGTGTGGGAAGCCAACGGTTTGTTTTCGCTTCAATTTGATTGGCTGAACCATTGTCACCTTCTCTCTGAATATTGGTTAAAGTACATCCATTTGACTGGCGGAACAAATGTCATCTCTCTGATTGATTAGAGTACATCCATTTGGTTGGCTGAACAAATATCATCTCTCTGGTTGGTTAGAGTACATCCGTTTGATTGGCTGAACAAATTTCACCTTCTCTCTGATTGGTTAGAGTACAAAGGTCAATATTTTTAACCAATTGAACGTAGCAAACAAATGTCATTCAAAAACTACCTCTGTTATGAAGGAAATGCTTTACACACGTTCTTCTTTAACGTTAGGTTTCTTATTTTATGACAGGCCTCGTTCATAGGTAGTGGCTACTTGGTTGCTCCTGGTGGAATAGAAGTTGGCGCCGACAAAGGTGAAACAAAAAGGAAACGACGATCGGTGGATTCATCAGCTGCGGGCGTATCAGAGTCTCAAGGACTCATACAGTCACTCAAGGATGAAATTGAGAGTATTAAACGACCAAGTGGAACACAAACGAACCCTGCTAGAAGTTGTAAAGATTTACACATGTGTCGTGGAGACCTAAAAGATGGTAGGCGGTTCTGATGGCTTTATATCGTGGTGTTCGACAAATGAACGATGTGTTCCCCGGCGTTGTTACGTCTTTTCAGGGCTTCTTTTCTCAGTGGCCAGGCCTTGATTCTTGGACAGCTGTGGTTTGGGTTTGACAATCCGTGAAGGAATTTCGTTTCTTCTTCCTTATTCAGTTTTTTCTTCCTTCTGGGCATTGGAAAGGGCTCTTTTTAGTGCAGAGTGCACTATTGGGATGGTTATGGGAGCTGCCTGCCGCTAAGTAACTAAGGCCCTATGGCGCTAAGGTGTAAACTTTAATGTTTGTTTAATTACTTAATCTCAATGAATTAATTAGTCTAGAGGCAAGGAAGTAGTGGGGGTGAGGTGGGAAAGGTAAATGTGTACTCTACGTAAAACACATCCCATCGCCGTCACTTAGGTTTGAACATCGCAAAGCTAAATATATGTTTCAGGTAACCCCTTGCTCTCCTTGTGGTACCATTCTCCTTAGAACAAAACTAATTTGCTCTAAACGCATGCGTAGATTAGTTAGTTTTCTTGGCTTCTATATTAGGTGAAGGATACATTGCATACGGAATCACGCACAAATGTTGAGTAGTTTTCCTTATGGTGAAACTCAACATGTAAGACGCGTGCGTTCTAGCATCGTTAGTGTCATACACTATCTTTCCATGCAGTATTTTATGTCATGTCATGTGACCAAGGACGGCAGTTATTTTTCAGGTAGCGCNCCCTTCACAAATTTATATGTTTACGGTAATTTAACATTGGTTTGAACTAGGGAGCTAATTATAACGCAGGTCTGAAACAGGGTTTTGATTTAAGAATTTTTGGTCAGGTCATAAATAAGGTAAGGAATATCGCAGATTTTGGTCATAAATAGGGTAAAGGTTTTGGGAAGCGGGCCGCACACCCCCACCCAATTTTTCTGGGAGTACCCCCTCGGGAGCCCTTCCAGCCCCCAAGAGGAATTTTTTCTCAAAAGTACTCAAGTTAATTAAGAGACCTTTTCGCATTTTATACGAGTCGTAAGGTTACCCTTTTTAGTGCAGAGTGCACTATTGGGATGGTTATGGGAGCTGCCTGTCGCTAAGGAACTAAGGCGCTATGGTGCTATGGCCCTATGGCGCTAAGGTCTAAACTTTAATGTTTGTTAAATTAATTAATTTCAATTAATTAATTAGTCTCGAGGCAAGGAAGTAGTAGGGGGTAGGGTGGGAAAGGTACATGTGTACTCTACGTAAAACACATTCCATCGCCGTCATTTAGTTTTGAACATCACAAAGCTATATATTTGTTTCAGGTAACCCCTTGCTCTCCTTGTGGTACCATTCTCCTTAGAACAAAACTAATTTGCCCTGAACGCATGCGTAGATTAGTTAGCGTTCATGGCTTCTATATTAGGTGAAGGATACATTGCATACGGAATCACGCACAATTGTTGAGTGGTTTTCCTTATGGTGGAGCTCCACATGTAAGACGCATGCGTTCTAGCATCCTTAGTGTTATACGATATCTTTCCACGCGGTATTTTAAATATCATGTCATGTGACCAAGGACAGCAGATATTTTTTCAGGTAACGCCATTTGTCCCTTTTTATTGCAAAAGTGAAACGTTACTGTGGCTGTGTAGCTTTTAGAATTACACACAGGTCGGTGCAACAAATATCATCTGCTGTTTTCAATCTACAATAGTGTGCTTGTCAGGGTTCAAATGTATTGCTTCTCCTTAGCGGCTTGTTTATTTCTTGCC